TATACATACACACACCCACACACACATATATATATATGTTATTATAATAATATATACTTAATATATATGTTATATATATATATATATATATATGTGTGTGTAAACATGTGTGTGTATGTGTATGTGTGTGTATGAATTTATACATATATATATATATATATATATATATGTATATATCTTTTCTTGTTAATATATATATATACATATATATATATAAACATATATATAAAACTAATTGTGTAGATTGCCCAATGAGTTCCGGTTTTAGGAGTATTTAAAAGAAACGCTAAATATAGTATATACACGGCATATATTATTGAACGGGAAAAGCAGCATCATTTGGCTGCTGTATTTGAATATCAACTTTTCGGGTTTTTATTCCAACTGCTCGTATCTCCATAAAGCGCAACTTTATCACTATTTGTATATAGTTTGTAACCTTATTGATGGTGCAGCTGCTTCTACGGTATTTGTTCGTCTATTTTTTTTGACCTGTTAAAACAGTGATGCTCTAAATGAAACTAGCTTCGAGTCTTTACACCAAATTCAGTACACAAACAAATCGATAACATTGCTGAATGGTGGTATATTATGAAGTAAGGATAACTCTGTGAACCACTAACCTCAATGATTAGAGGCCGGAATTTGATAGTTCGAATGTGGCGCGAGCACAGCACAATCAGTTTGCAGTGATATGAGGAAGGAATGATTGAACAATTGTGATAAGAATAGCAAATCCTCGAACACACATGGATGTTTCGAAAATTTGGGACTTTGCCGTGCATCGACAGGCTTTTCATAGTAATGTTTTTATATGACCTCTACAAATATAAATGGATCTACCAGCAAAGAGATATAAACGTCTAAACAGTATACTGCATATAAATAAACCACCTTGATATGTACCCATTTTCGGTCAGGACAGGCACGATATCGCAGCAAGTATGCCGTGTTTGAATTGAAGCCATTTAAAACCAGTAAATATGGTCGCCTTCTAAGCACAGCAACTTCGTTCTTAATTCAGATGGGTCAAATCTATTATGATTTCAGTTTCATCACGATATGTTCTCAGCTGGGTTGCATCGCCCGCTAAAAAACAGTTTCAGGCAATTTGAAAGTTTACGCTGAGCTTGTACATATTCTTCAGCTTTGCCGAAGTCGATGATGTAGAAGTCTCCGTGTTTGGATCGCCCTTTCGCATAGTGTCAATACACAACGTGATGGCGAATCAGCCGTATGTTATACCTGTGAATACGAATGGAGCCGTGGAGAGCTCACACAGAACGGGCGTAGGCAGCGATTCAACTACCAATCAAGTTAAAGTGGATGGTGCTGATGGGCAAGTCACATTCTTGTCTCGTGTTATGGGAGAGCTCGAGACGGTGGCCCACAACGAAAACCACAACGACTTGTACTACTTCAAGCAATCTAGAGGTAGGTGTGTTCCTGCACATGTAGGAATCTGCCGCAGTCGAGCCAAAGCCAGAGTGATCGCGGCAAGTTCTGCAAATGTGGGATATTGAATTATTGACTTATTTTATTGGCGAGTGTGTAAATGTTTGATTTGTTCCTTCAATTGCTGGGGACGACCTTCGCCTACTTTGCAATGATTCGTTTGGCTAATTAGGGCTAAGAAATGGATTCCACGGTCTGATCAAACAATCATATCTCGTCGCGTCTACATACATTGCTCCTCGATGGCAAGTCTGTTACAATTTTTGCAATTTGTCAGCTAAATGTACAAACTGTCGCTTCTTCCGTAGATTTGAAGACCTGTGCACAACCACACGTAGCACAACTGCGTACATGGCTGTACGACGAAGTCAGAGTGTTCTGTGAGTCAGTGACTGACATGATCTTGAATCCCGGTAGACTCAATTTGTTCAGCGCACGATATCCGCCAACAGGGCGACTACTGTGTCACGACGATCAGTTGGAAGGACGGTATGTACCTGTTCGTGTTTGCGTTCTAAAATTATATTTGTTCATGTTCTTGCGAGCACATGCGCATGTGCATTTGTACACCTGGAACAAGCAATCTTAGGGATTGAACAGCATCTCTTGGGGAGTGAGCATTTGTATCTTGAGTGGCTGTAGGGCTGCATGCAAATGTGCGTTTGTTTGTGCATTTGCGTTCATCTATTCGCTTGAACAATTGATCTCTCCACAAGGCAATATGCTCGATCTTGCAATATGCTCAAAACTGGAATTGTGCTTTGTAGACTTATTGATTGTATTTGCTGCATGACTACACAATTGTTAATTTACAAACTATTAGGAGCTCAAGTGATGAATGGCCTCAAACTTGTATATGAGCGATGTATGTTTGTATCATCTTGAATATGTTCAGATATATGTTGCCAGGTGCGAGCACTTTTCAGTTTCGAGTACGTGCACCTCTATTCATTTCTACGCGGCTTATTATATGACTCGTAACCTTTTGCGAATATCGTACTCTCTGCCGCAGTAAAATAGCGTTCATCATATATTTATCACCCGCGGATTGGTCCTCTGGCAAAGATGAGGGGGGAACGTTGGGAGTGTATGACAGTGTCATTGGTGTCGACGGCAAACTGGAACCCACACCGAATCCAATGCATAAGCTGCCTCCAACCTGGAATACTCTTTCGTTCTTTGAAGTCAGCGAGAGGAGCTTTCATCAGGTGTGTCTTACTGGTTGGTATCTCGTGGCAGGTGGTGCATGTGTGGCCCACACTGCATACACAATCACCGTACACATTTGAACGCTTGCGAGACTAGTGCTGGTGCAATATGATTCAAAAACAAGGCTGAAAGTACATTTCGAGGTTCATCTCCGCTCAAAATCGCAGCCACGGGTCGAATCGCGCTTCTGGCACGTGTTGCCCGTAAGGCAGTATAGTTTAAGTATAAAACAAAGCATAAGTAGCTACGAAAATGGGAGAAGGGGTAGATGTGCGCACGGCAATACGGGAATTTTTGGCACACAGGTATTAACAATGACCATTATATATGTACATACATGGCACGGACAAGGATATGTTCATTGTTTATTCAGCGATAGCGATATAAATAGTAAAGAGCATGTGGCAGTTGTGGCAGAATGTGTAAGGTTTAGAGAACCGTTTCCACGTATATACGCAAATTGTTAGCTGAGATGCTAAAGCTCAACACTCATGTATTCAAACCACACACATGCATCTTCTGGAACCCAGGTGGAGGAGGTGATTGGCAACCGAACGCGCTATTCTGTGGGCGGGTGGTTCCACGAACTACCGCAAGCTGATAGGGTAAAGACCTCACCGTCAGCGATTGCCACCAAAAGCACAACTGATATAGCCGACAAAGTCAGCAGTAGTCAGCTGGCAGCAGATCAAATCAATATAACAGGCGACACCATCAGGAGCACAACTGATATAGCCGACAAAGTCAGCAGTAGTCAACTGGCAGCAGATCAAATCAATATAACAGACGACACCATCAGGAGAGCAGTAGAACGGCCAGGCAGTGAGAGCGAACAGTGCTTGGAGGACTGGATCAACGAAGTGTATTTAAGGTGAGTTGGGCATAGAAGGCGAGGGGATATTGTCGTGTGTACCGGAGCGAGGTATATATTGCATGCATACGCACAGTTTATTCCACACGAACCTCGTGTGGTAGTTTTTTGATATTTCATGGTGGGAAGTATCGCGGTTTTGAAAGTGACACTCTCGAAAACCAGGGTGAGCGGTTAGTTCGATCGTCAAACTGCCGCGAAATGAATACCTTAAGATGTGCTGGGAGTCCGCACGAGCCAGACATTCTCATTTGTGTTAGACAATCGAGGCGATCTTGTAAACGTATGCCATAGCTAGTGGTTTTATGTATATCGAATCAGGCTCTTAAACTAGACACATGAATACAACCCATATATCCTAAGTGGCTGGCCCTAAAGTCGTACTTACCTGCGACATGAAAGAGGTATTCGAGAGGTATTCAAACATGAACGTATCTCACTGGAGATTAGTTCAATATGCAATCGAGCACCTTATCTGGTCCAGAAATGGTACACTCCAGAATACATACGTATTTGTCGCAAACATTGTGAATCTAATCAATATACTACTTCCGATCCAGGAAACCGATTCAGGCTAACATACAGGACAAGTTTGCCGACGATTCGAGTATTCAGCTGAAGGTATGCTGCTGTATCTGTATGCTACACCTGTAATCACTTCTATTTGTTTGTAGTGTTTTGGTAGCCTTTAACTTGCTATTTTGCAAAATCGACTTTTTTACGAAACGTAAAAGTTGCGTGAGAAAATAGATTTCCTGGCTGGTAACGATCTCGAGAACGTGGTGTTTTCTCATTTTATGATGTCTCGCGTAGTCCCGTTACATATCTCATTGTTTTCGCCGTGTCCACGGTAAATGTCTACATGTTCTTTGGGTTTCTTAGCTGATTTTTCGGCAGCTAGGTGGCACTACGGTCGTTGTCCACAACATTGCCAATTTCTAAGGTATTTTGATCGTGCTTACACACCAATCGTAGGATTTTCTTGTCCCTATCAAGTTTAAAGAATTAGACGAGGCTTTAACGGGCAACGGCATGGCTTGGCACACCGATATCACACCACTGAAGGCGAAATACGCAACACTCTGCGGTGGGAGGCCTTCGGGTGTTATACATGACGTACAGAGCTTGTTGTCGTCCAAAGCTTTCTTGGAATTGGGTATGAAGTTGGTGCTGTAAATGCATCTGTCACCGGACCGTCACACCCACTTGGCGATTGCGATGAGCACGTAATACAAGAACAAGTTGATGTGCGTTGGTGTGCGGTTTCTCCCCTTTTTTCATGTACGCATTCGGGATGAGATTCTATTTTTGAGGTGCGATAGTTTAGCTCGCCACCGCTAAAGTGCACAGGAATGATCACAGGAATGATCGTTCTTGCGCGTGTTTATGTAGTGTTAATGTATGTACTCTGATGTCGTTGTCGGTATATTGCACTCGCTCAGGAAATCCCATGCGATGCTATTAATAGTGCTTATTGTATGCATAGCAACTGCCTTTCGGAGATAGTATACGCAAGCCCCATGTTCTATCATGGCATCACTTAAGACGAGCACTCACTTACTGCAATTCAAACCGCAGTTAATACGCTCTCCGGCCTGGACACCACAAGCGTAACAACGAGGATACGAAAATTTGCTCACGGCGACTACACAATGCTTCCCCACGGTGACACACACAAGGATTGCGAGTGTTTAGAAGTGTCACTTGCGGTTTGTAGGACTCAGTGGAAGGAGTCGTGGGGTGGGATTCGAACATATCTCGTGGAAGGCGAGGAGGTCATATCCATCGCACCTGAAGGTATATCTCTGTTTTCGTGGGTGTC